ATAGAGACGAAATGTCATTTAATTTGTTTGAAAACTGTTCTGCCACATCATTACTGTGACAACTGCGCTCCGATTGGCCAGCCTGAATTCGAAACAATTGACGGGTGTCGTCAATTGTTTTACTTCAAATCGGCCAGTTAACTTGTGCTTTGCTATAATCGACGAAAATTGCAAAATCACAATAATCACATATTTAATTACCGATGAAATTTGATTCCGTTTGTTTTGTAATTAGATGTTTTGCTGTTTTTCCCCACACCATCGAATGGAACAGCACGCCATTGTTACAGATTTCTTTGTACTCTGATCTTTATTACAATAAATACATAATATTTTTGGAATATACGGAGACGTACACACAGGTCAGTTGTTGGCGCTGTACTATTTCAGCTTTCTAATTTGTAATTTCAGTGTAAACCAGAGTATCACTGATGAGTTCCCAGGAATGTATGGACCTTATTTCATCTCTATTTCTGGTTATATACTCGATGGGTAAAACACATCATATCGTACAACAAATTAGCACATTCTTTAGACAATATCTTTAGGTATATCGTATATTTTTTGTGAGACTGTTATTAAATAGTAAATACCTCAACCATTTGATCTAGCAAAGTTCTTCCCGCTTCTCTTCCGGTGACTCGTCTTAACCAAAAAGCATTACTCAATACAAGGCGTATACGAAATGTAGGTCAAAATGCAAGATTATAGTGTATAGAAGATAGTGATTGCAAATTCGTGAAAATATTGTTCTCTCTACCGGTGGTATACGAAAGATATTTTAAAAAAGACTTAGACATTCCGTTTCTCATATAGATACCAATATCTGCCTGACACGTATCTAACCCAGGCAAAACAACAGCTCAAAGAAAAATAGAAGATATTTCGAACTTCAACAAAGTTTCATCACAGCTTGCTATAAATATCAACGTGTTCTAATAATAGATGGTATTATGGCTTCGCGCTCAATTTCAGATATCTTTTGGATCAGCTGCTTTAATTAATTGTTCTTCCTGTGATGCGCGGGAGCATCAAGCGTTGCATTCTTAATTGTTTGTTTTCACCCTGTGTGTGATGTGTGTGATGTGCAAGAGATTTTGTTGAGATTGTATCTTAGGCTACTAACAGAATGACTGCATGTTAGCAGTTAATGTTTGCAACTTCATGCAGCCGAGACCACGATTGCATGAGGTTGATAATGACTTCGCGCATTGACTGCATGCAGTCGATCTTGGCTGCATGATGTCGGTTTCGACTACATGCAGTTAATACGTGAAATCATTATCCGACACCTCGACTGCATGAAGTTGATAACGACTGCAGCAGATAAGTTAATGCCTGAAGTCGTTATCAACTTCATGCAGTCGTGGTCTCGGTTGCAAACATGCAGTCCATCTGTTAGCCTTGTTTTATGAGTTCAAAGTCTACGAGGTTGTACCTGTTACCATTTATCTCGAAAACTGTCAAACCGTTTTTGTTTGGATCTTCAATCAAATCATTTATTGTGTACGCACATCCAGAAAGACTTTTTCTGGATGTGCGTACGTAGTAGAATTACGTTGTCGTGTCAGTACCTACAGCACACAAAGTACTTAATTAAATTAATTTAACTGTATGTACATATATACACAAACAGATTACAAATTAGTTTAAGAATCTAAACGATGTAATATAAACCATATTGGGTTTTACCGTACATCGTCATATCGTTTCGATGTCTTTAAAGTACTAGTTGCTATGAACGAGTTATTATAATCTCAAAAACCTTAATTATAATTTCAATTCTTAGTCTCATGCATGTCATTATTTTATAGTTAACTATTATTCTATATCCTTATCATGTAAGTAATCGCTGACTTTATACGCTTTCCAAGTAAATAAATTAATAAACGCTTTTTAAAATTGACAAATTGTCTTTTATGCCAAGTATATATATGATTTGGCAGCTTGTTGTACAGTTTTGGTGCCATCGCACTAATATTTTATGAAAGAGGGTAGTCTTACAGGATACCAATTTCATTTTATTGTGTTTTCGTGTACGTTTTAATTTGCTGATGAGTGTGAGATTTCTCCGGACAAAAAAATATTTTTCAATAATCTCTCAGTACAACCAAAACTGACGACAAAGTTATTCATCTCCTAGTTTGCCACCTTTAGAGTAAATAGAACCACTACTGAGGTACCATCTTTCCAACAAAAAAGAATCATCAAAATAGGTTCACAAGTGCCAGAGTTATCGCGTAACATACATACAGAAAAAAACAACGCAAATTGAGAACCTCCTCTTTTTTGAAGTCTGTTAAATGTATAAATTGAAGGAAAAATCTTAGATCATCAAGAACTAAGATATATACATATACGCATTGACTTACAAATAAATGGACGACGGATCTAATACGAAAACCACGAAAAAAATGTCCCAAGTCAACCTATTTAAACGTAGTGACATGTAAAGGAATATGAAAAAGCTAAAACGTTGAATTTAAATTGTAATGTCATCGCAGTACTGTCTAATTTTGCTTGCTTCGCTGTCAGTCGAACAAACGAAGACTAAAGCGTGAATGACGCTCTGTATACGATTTTAACGCCCTATAAGTTCGGACACTTTTTGGCGCGGACCCGACGTCCATATAATTGTAAGTCAATGCATATACGTCACAACCCGCTAATCGCCCGAACACGTTTTTTTGCATTCAATACGTCCGGATAGCTTTACCCCAAAAATTGATACCGTATCTCATGACTGAGGTTACATATCCGTAGTAACCCACTATACTCGTATATCTACATGTTTATCTATCTATCTTGGTTATTAAATGATTATCACTAATATCAGGTTTCTTACCACGGTATGACTTCTTTTTATTTTCCCGATATTTCGGAACGGTTGCAACACTCGGGTTGTCAACCCGTGACCATGGAGCGTGCAACCGTTCCGTAAGAAACCTGATATTACTGATAATCATTTAGTGAATAACCACGAAAGTCTTAAAAAACTTGGTTGATTAAATAACCAAGTAAATATTTTAATTATATCGGTTTTAATAATTTAATTTAATAATATAATTTACTTTTATCGGTAGGTAGCACAGCTGTGAGAGTTCAGACACCGATAAAAGCCTTTAATAAAGCTACCACGTCCAATATGAAAGCTTAGTATAATGCTCACTTGAACCCCTTTTTCCGACTGGCTTCATATCTCTCGCGGAATAAAGCTTTCTGGATCACTCGCTTACACCGCCAAAGACAAAACACGTTTGTTTATTTCTTTTTTGTGGATAACTTACGTCTAGATGTCGCTGCCAAAGTTCCTAATACACTGCTGGTAGTACTTTCCTGGACAAACTCGGTAAATACCAAGAGTCACAGTTGTCATTGTCGCTAAATGTTAAGATCTTTTTGAGACTGCTAGAGACGTTAATTGCAATTTACCATATACAATCGTGAATTTTTTAATCAGTAGTTAGCGACAACGTTAATTTCATGGTAGAGGCATTGAATTTGTAGCGCAATAATTTTCAACATCAATGTTCGTCTCCGCAAAGACCTGTTGTGTTGTACTTTTTTATGATGATATTAAGTAACGGGACGGACAAGTGGTGCACCTGGTGGTAAACGACACGCCTATCCTATAACAATTGCAGTGCCACATAGAGCTTCAAATCACAAAGATGTGAGGAGCACTGCCATATGTCATCCTGAAACATACGTTGACAAGTCCCATGTCGATGCCTTACCTTATCAAACACGTATCTTACAAAGATTAACTGCCTCTGTGGCCGAACGGTTACCATGCCGGACTGCCACGCAGAGGTCCCAGGTTCGATTCCCGGGCCGGGAGAAATATTTGTATGGCCTACATTTATTTCTGTCGTGAGTTTGGGTGTAATTTGTGGTTGTCTATGTGTGTCCATGGCACCCACGACACAGGGTTTCCCTAGTGTGGGGCTATGTTGAGTGTGTGCGTTATTATTATTATTATTATCATTATTATCATTATTATTATTATCATTATTATTTTCGTATTTATTTTAAACTCTCGCCTCTCCCAAGGCCTAAAAAATTAATTTTGAATTTTTAAATGGGAGAGGCGGTATTTCCCGGCAATGGCACATTATTATTATTATCGTATTTATTTTAAACTCGTTTATTTTTTTTATTATTATTATTATTATTATTCAGGAAATGGCAAAACCTTCTATTCATTTTAAAAATTCTTATCAAGGGTGTTAATTTGGATAGATTAGTTTAAGAATAGGTAAAAGCCGGTGTGTGAATATGAAGGAAATGTGAAGGGAAATCAGCCTGCAAAATTTATATATACGAGTAATTTTTTGCATTTCAGCTACTTTGTGCTTTAAGATACGAGTTTGAGAAAATAAGGCGACTGTGTGATTGTTTGTAATTCCACCAGCGCCCTTCAAAATCGAAACGCAGTAATTCTCACATTACTGCTTGGCGGCAGAAATAGGTAAGGTGGCAGTAATTCCGTGGACGTACTCTTTCACAAGGATCTCTACGTAAATGTATGCTAGACAACTTTTTTTATTAATAATACTAATAAACGGGACGAACAAATCGTGCGCCTAATGGGCGATACGTCCGTCCATAACAGTCGCAGTACCACTCACAAAAGCACAAAGAACTGAGGGGAACTGCCACTGCGTCTGACACCCTGAGACATAAGTTGACAAGTCCCATGTGCCTAATTTCACCAGCACCCTTACCCTTCGACACCGGAACGCATTAATGCTCACATTACTGTTTGTCGGAGAAATGGGTAAGGTTGCAGTACTTCCCTGGACGAACACTTAAAACTCTTAACTTATTGCTAAAGGAGAAAAACAAAACAGTTATTGCTTTTCAAACAGTCACACGGACCTATTGTATTAATAAGAAATACAAAAGGCAAACGTAAGGCTAAAAAACGAATTTCAGCATGACAATATCACATGGCAGCCAATTTTAAAGCTTTCCATTTGAACACACCATTTTTTCTTGAGAAGAAATATAGAATAATGTTAAACCTACTTAACTGCTACATTTTAATTTCAAAATCAGGTAGCCCGTCTAACTGCTTGCCGTTATAAACACAATACAAAACTCTGAAAATGGCTAAGATATAAACTTATCAAATTTAAATTAGATACGGAGGTTACAACAAAGGCTAAATGTAATATATCATAGCATAGTTTGTTTCTGCTTTTGTCACGTTAATATTTTGTTAGCGTACATTTTTGATCATGAAATTTCATTACAGTAGTGACGTACTCTATATCCCTTCTGCGTAGATATCATGCCTTCATTTATCTTTAATCCTATTTTAAATATAATTTTGGTTCTGCTTTTCCATATTTCCCTTTTATCTTGTATTTAGTTCGATTCAAAATGCCTGTAAAAGAAGTATATGAAAAAAATTAAAAGTGCCTCTAATGTTGCTAAAACTAAACTTGTTTGAAAGTATCTAATTTTCAGTGGTATGTTTTTGATAGCTTTAAATCACAAAGCCCGTCACCTACGTAGAGACAAGTTAACAAGTCCCATGTGCCTGTAATTCCACAAACGACCGTAGGTACCTTTCAAAATCGGATCACAGTAATGTGAGCATTAATTACTGCTTGGCGGCTGAAATAGGTACGGTGGCAGTACTTCTCTGGACGAACTTTTTTACAAGGAGATCTACTAAACTACTACTGTTTTCCTGTTCTTTTCTTTTCCTTACTGTTCAACCGCTCGAAAAATTCGATAGCATCACGAATATAGATATTCATAGTGAACAGTGCCTCACAACAAAAATCCAATAGTATTCTCTTGGTCTCTATTCTCTATCAGTCTTGAGACATTTTTGCAATCTTAAGGGCACCTGCAAACTACAGACTTTCTCTCCACCGACAGTTAAGTGGAGTCGGGCTGCTAGCGGGCACACTGAAATAACCAAACAATCTGGTGTCGAAAAATTGTGCTAATTAGTGGCTGCTCTCGAATTGCGTATTAAAAATTAAATTATCCAGATAAGTTATTATTGCTTTTGTACAATAGAGAAAAAGAGAAACCGTATTGGGTACATTGGTAAACTTAACAATCGATAACCATTTGGTCGATAGTTTGCCGACCAAGTGACGGGACAAGCATGCCGTGTGCCTGGTGGTCGACGATACGCCTGTCAATAGGAGTTGCAGTGCCAAACAGAGCTTTAAGCCGCGGAGGTCACCCTCAAGGTCATTGCCACTGCGCCCGTCACCCTGAGACGTACGTTGACAAGTACCATGTGCCTGTAATTTCACTAGCACCCTTACCCTTCAAAGGATCACAGTAATGCTCACATTACCGCTTAGCGGCAGATATATGAAAGGTGTCAGTACTTTCTGAACGAACTCTTTCACAAGGAGCTCTACTGCTTCTAAACCTAGCAACCCGTCAAACTTATTTGTCGATTGACATCGAGTCGTTATAAAGTGCGCACTTGGCACCGACTGAACTGTCGGCCGACAGAATGTCTGCAGTCTACGTGTGCTCTAAATTGACAGAAAATATAAATCAATGTTTAAAAAACGGTATAAAACCACAAACAATTTACCAGGCCAGTCAAATTAAATAATTAATATTATTAAACCTTTCAGTTATATCTTCGTTTTCTATAAAATTGGAAATTTAAATTCCTCTGTTCTAATCACAGAAACTCAATAATAACAATAGAATTAATCGAAACATAACGAAGAACTGTAACGAAGATGTGAATGAAATCTTACAGGTTCAAGTTGACGGATTGGTTGTGATTTCAAGATTTTTTAAACCACAGTCAAGCTTGGACCATCGACTGAAATCGTTAAAAAAACTGAAAAAGAAGTTTTGGCATTGTGAAAATACAGAAACATCTCTAGAAACTACCTACACAATATTAATGTCACACTACTTTGGGTAGGGTTTTAATTTTATACAACATTAAATAATTAAAATAAATATTAGACAACATCACGTACGTTGCTCTGATTCTAAAGTACGTAACTAAAGCACTTGTGTTATGGAAATCGGAAACAACGACGGTACCAGTGTATGCAGCCAGTCCACCATTGAGGTCGTCGATATTCCTCTCGATTTTTTATTGGTGAAATTATTAATCAGAAACCGAAAATATTAACCGAAAATAGACGCGATAATATAATAAAAATAATGAGCCAGACAATCACATTAATAACCTGGTCTAAAAACTAGGGACATCCGGGGCATTACCCAGAACACCCCGACAAGAACAAATTTACAAAAGTTTGTTTCCTAAATTGGTCCTAATTTAGTCATGAGACCGTTATAGCATCCACAACGTTAACCACTGAGTAACCGAGGCTGTCAAGCACTGGGGTAGGCGAAGCTCGGATCCTGACCTTAAATTCTAGAATTTTTACGTGTTATGAAGTAAAGAGATACTAGCATCGTCGAAAAATTGGAATAATCAGGAAGGACTATAATCGGCTTTTTGATATCTTATTTAGTTTCAGTTTTATTGTTAATTGCACAAAATATCATAATCAGAAATTGACATTTTTTAGGTGCTAATATCTCGAAAGTTACCGAAATGCAAATACGCTAATTATGATAAAGAAGGCAGTATGCATTTCGATTCTCTGTCTAATATTAATTGTTGGGTATATATAATTCGTACCCTTGGTAGAAGAAAGCCACGTATGATCACAAGTCACATAAAAATAGTACGTACTACAGACCTGCCTAAATGAGTCGGTTCCTGAGGTAGCTGTGCCGTGCGGGAGGAGTGACTGTTTATGTAACAGTTATGTCGCGTTGCACATGGGATAATTTCGACAAGATTTTTCTGACGATATTCAATAACAAGTTCATTGAAAAAAGTGCCAAATTACATGTATATTCATCAATTAAACAGTTTTTTTAATTATCGTTTCACATAAAAAGTACTGACTCATTTGGTCGGCACTTTTTAATCAACTTGCTATTGACTTTCGTCAGAAAAATCTCGTCGAAATTATTCCGTGTGCAACGCGACATAACTGTTACGTAAACTATCACTCCTCTCGCATCGCGCAGCTACCTCAGGAACCGATTCAGTTAAGCGGTTGTCCTGTACATGAAACAAATTACGTATAATTTGAAATTTTATAACACTCTATTTAAGCAAGAAAGTAATCGATTAATTTCGTTCGTAGAATCATCAAACCTCTGTTCTGAAAAGTTGTAATTTTGCAAATGTGACCTTCTTACACCAAGGGTAAGAATTGCTTAAACCAATATATATATATCGATTGTCATAATGCGAATTTATGGATCAGGTGACCATTTTTATCGTGACAATCAAATCTGTTAGGGTAATCGAATTTTATGTCTGGAGATAGACGTTCCTTTATTGCATTTGCTTTCAAATTAGAGCCTGTGGTTGATGGCTTACCAGGACTGCGATAGGCACAAGGACACCAACGACAACAGCGGCGAAAGAAGCTATTTTGTATTTATGTTTTCTTGCGTTTACATTCACGTACGCTTCGAATCGACTGAAACTATCGACATCGTAATTTAGACGTTCATATTGTTGCAATTGTGATATGAAACCTGGAATATTATTTAAAAAATTAGGTGTAATAATTTTTAATACATAGTTCGTACACAAAGAAAAATTCCTTCTACGAGTATCTGACAGGACTCGAACGGGCAACCTCTACAGATCGATACCAACTGAGATACAAATAGATATTCAAAGGTAGCAAATGCAGATTGCTATACAACGTGACGTCAATGGTAATGGCAGATATATTTATAACAATAAAGTCAATATCTAACGTCAAAGTTCGGATATTTACGTTCGTAAATATCCGTAGTTTCCAAGTTTTCCCAATCTGTAATATTTCCGTAGACAAACAAAGTTCCAATTCTACTTGAAGCAGTTCTTATTATCACTGACGTTATCTACCGACCCGAGAGATAGGGTTTTCCGGAGAGACTATGGGCTCGATGGCAAGACCAGGGTACAGTGGGCGTCCGGGACAAGCCCTCCGCCAGTGATACGCCTTCACGGGTGTCTTTGGTCGATACGGACGTGGATATGGACTCGTGGATATGGTTTGGTGAGCTGTAGAGACGGACATGTTTGTCTGCCCCGGTTTCATGTGGCCGGGGCGACTGTCCCGCGCGCAGCTAGCGAGTCTTAGTAGCGGTCTAGTTGAGGGCTTGAGGCGAGGAGACGCGCGGGGCACGTGAGTTGCCCTTTAATTCGGTAGCTATGCCTGGACATTGTCGCAGGACACTGCTACTTGGCATCTTCGGCTCTAGCCCGGAGAGCTAGTAAAGGATGAGCTAGACATCTTCCGGTCCCTCCGGCCACGCAGGAATTTGGGAACTGGAGAGACGCCGTTCTTTCAGCGTCGGGAAGTGAGCGTGCGTTACAGCTCGGCCACCAATGAGGAGATTTGGTAGTCGGCGGCTCAGCGGCGGTAACCGTTAGTCGTGCGGAGTACGTCGGGACGTGACCGTGCCTACAGCTCCGGTACCTATTTGGAAAATAGGGAGGGTGCTGTACGTACACCCGGGGAGGCTCACTAACCTTACAGAGAACCGGATGAAGCCCGTGCAAATGTGCTGATCCGGGGCTAAGACCTAATTTAGATGGTCCCTGTGCGGGTTCGGTCTTACACAGGTCGTAGTGCCCTACCCGCATAACCAAGAGGTTGATAGGGAGGGGTACTATAAACAAGACTTATGTAGAAACATATGGGAATGTCCTTATCTAGCAGATATAGGGTTTTTCGGAGAGATTACGGGCTCGACAACAAGACCAGGGTACAACTACACGAGCGTCTTTTGCGGACCCAGACTTAGATATGCTCTCGCTGGGGTTTGTGGTGACCTGCAGAGACGGACATGTTTGTCAGCCGCGGTGGCGTGTGGCCGGGGTGTCTGTCTTGTGTGCAGCTTGCGCGTCTTAGTAGAGGTCTAGTTGAAGGTCAGAAGCGAGGATACTTGCGGGTCACGTGAGTTGCCCTTTAAGTTGGCCAAGAGGTTGATAGGGAGGGTAATTATAGTCAAAACTTATGTAGAAAAGGTATGGGAGCTGTCCCTTTTTATTTTAGATTTCACGAATTTGCGCACTTGTGGCACAATGAAAGAAGACTATATGACGCTTAGCGCCCTATCGTCGGGGCAGGTCAACGCGAAGTGCTATATTGTGATGTACACGCCCCTGAAAGGGGGGAGGTGAAAGAAGAAGGGACAAGGAAACCGAATTTGTAGGGAGTCAAGACGCGCTTCACGGGAAGGAGCCCCGAGCAAGTACCGTGAGTGCCTCCCGTATTTACGCCCGTATGCTGAGAAGCAGGAAGGACTGTGCGAGATGGTGGGGTTATCCGTTTTTATTATTAACGGAGTTAGAGCGATGTCACACGGGCGTTGCCGGTGCGTTACAACGTCGTAACGCTATGATTTCAACGCATCGATTACCATACAAGCAATGCGTCGTCGCAACGTAACGCTGCTTATTTTCGCACCGCAGCACCTCTCCCCACTTCGTCTCCTGGCCCCTTGTCCAATGCGTGCATGCTTCGTCGCCGCGCATGCTACTATGTAGCATGTCGATCTGATGTACACACATCATTTGCTTTTTTTTAGCACTGATGCATTTTTTTGGTTGACTGATTCATTAAACGTTCTTGATCCCTATGCACTTTTGTATATGTAGTATACTCTGCGTCACCGCTCAACTCTTACGCTCGAACGTACATGTAAAAGCGAATTGAGCTACTTATTTCTGAAGTATGTAGAAAAGCCTCCTAAATGTTAAAAAGTCTTAAATAACCTGGATTGGGGTTGATGAATCGTCTTCGCTGGCGGACGTAGTTATATGCTTGCTGGTATGTCAGCTCGTATCTTTCCATAATGAACGCAATGACCAAAGTGGCTGAACGAGAGACTCCAAAATGGCAGTGAACGAGAACGGCTCCTGCGCAGTCAAACTTGTAATTTAGTAATTAACTACTATCTGATTGGTTCATCACTGTATTCATAATTCATAAACAATTGTCGGAATTGGGGGAGTTAACTTACCCAAAGTATGAACGTTTTCTTAATATGGACATAGCTATTTCTTTAACTGACAAAAATAAAAACAATAGTCCCAGGATTTGTAGAAAAGAATATCCACGTTATTCTTTAGTTTAGCTAAATTAACTCCCGATCACTGGTCATAATTAATTTATTCGTGAAAACATAGGTTGAATAGAACATGACATGTATAAAATAAGTATAATTATAGTTTCTCTATGTCTGGCCAAATATTAGGCACACAAATATTGAAGGTATAATATACCTTCAGGAAGGCATATTATAAAAAATTATATAGTAATTGATAAGCCGGAGAAAACAATATAATATAAATAAAAAACTAATTTATAAATTCGTGTAAAAGAAAAAAGAATCAATTGGGCAATAGAAATTAGTTTGTTTAAAAGAAAATTGTAAAGCAAAGCATTTACAACGAGTATCTAACTTATTATCTATAAACAATAATATACACATTTAAGTGTCTTTCTATGTATTTATCTATCAAAAAGTCTATTTCTTTATCTATCTACGTAATTTTTAAATTTATTCTACCTTTTTGCAAACCCTCGCCGATAAATGCGTTGGCCATTGGGAAGTAGGGCAAGAGATGGGTTTGAGGAGTGTCGTAGGCCCTAATAAAGAGTGTGCTAATATTGGCATTTTCAAAAGAAGATTTCGGCAGCCGATGAGCTTCAATGGTGAGCACATGGGAAATGTTAAGCTTTCTGAGAACAGTTTTGTCTGCTGCAGCTCGTGCATTGCTCAAGTATAAACCTGAAATAGCAGTAGATAATATTTGTACTATTTATTTTATGATAAACTGTTACCCTTGATAATAAAGCTGTCTTTTTGGGAGTGACCTTACATAGTAAACTTCAATGGTTTCCACATACATCTTCCTTAGTCCGTAGAATACGTGAGCTTACAGATGTTGCTACTGCTAGACTAGTTTACTTTAGTTATTTCCATAGTATAATGTCCTATGGGATTCTCATGTGGGATAAAGCGGCAGATATACAAACCATATTTGTGTTGCAAAAACGAGCGATTCGTTCTGTGTTCCGTTTAGGTTCTCGGGTTTCTCTCAGAGAAAAGTTTAAGGAGACTGGCGTCATGACTGTGGCATCACAGTACATTTACTTTCATTAAGGAAGAAGATATCCATAATATTAACCTTAGAACTAAGTCCAAACTCATGGTACCACGGTTTCGTTTAATTAAGGTAAACGATTCTTTTATGGGGAACTGTATACGTTTTTACAATAAGTTTCCAGGGAATATGTTAAGATTATCATTTCCTAAGTTTAAAACTTACAATTAAAAGTGTTTTAATTGAAAAGTCATATTACAAAATTGAAGAGTACGTTTTAGATAAAGAAATATGGAAAGACAACAAGTATATTCAAAGTGTATTCCGTAGTATTTAAGTTTATTTGAAAAGAGCAATCCCTAGAGTTTCTTGCTCCTTCTTCGTAGTGAACGAGCTTAAAAAATGACGTTTTCAAGTGTAAAAATTTTAGCTATGGAATAAAATTAAATGATTATTTGACTTTGACCCACTGTTCACTGTTATAAAAAAACGCACACAGCTCTATACGTTTATGCAATGCAAATAGAATGAACTTTAACGTATTCGGTGTGCAGTGGCGCATAGTACTAATGCATCTTTTTCACACGGCGCGAAGTCATACGTTTTTTATCGAATAGAACAAGCGGCATCCATTAAAGTATCTTTTGGAAGGAGGACACGTATAATTTTATTAATACAAAATGACGGGCGAATCTTCTGTGGATAACGATTAATGGATATCTTTAGTGTAACAAAGGCCCGTTTTTTCGTCATTTCCAGATTTTCGTAAAATTTTTCAAATGTGTTTGTACGCACTGCTTCTTGATTCATTGGATGAATCCAATACCGGTTCTGTACGGCGGCAAAGCCGTTGGTGTCTTCTATGCCAATATAAAAGTGCATCAAAGCGTGGATCCATCACAGACGTGTTCTCAGGGCGATTGCTGTATGAATACTGCTGCTATCCGTCTTTTAAACGCATGAAAATATATCGTGTGAACACCCCGCGGTCTGTCAGTTTATAATCGAAAACGTGCAGGACAATGTCGTGTGAACGAAAGCATAAGTGACTGCGGGGTCGAATATATCTGTGCCTTGAGGTTACCTATCACAAGCTATAAACATTATTCACAGAATTTTATTAACCGAAAATCTTTAGATTTTTATTGAATACATTTTATTTTATTTGTCCGAAAACACGTTATGGTTTTTTTCATTACACCATTTAATGTTTCACTATTTTGACAAGTTTTAAAAAAACAAATGATATCCATGATAGATTTTTGTTGTATTATTTCTTATCACAGATATTAAAAGTATTAGAACGTGCACAATACAACTCGTCAAATTAAAGCACCTCGCATGTTTAAAAAATATGGTAAACGAAATGCAAGTTAATTTGATCGAGTTGTAGTCGCTCGCTACGCTCGTTTCGCTCGTTCGGATCGTGCTGCTTTTTCATATACTAACCTAACCTAAACCTACAGAAAGGGGTCGTACCGTCAAGGTAATGCAAACAAATTCGGCTCTGGCATTCGCCGGCCACTTCCGC